GTTCCCATCACTCACACTGTGCCGCTCACACCAGCCTGTAACCCTAATTCCAGGGGGATCTAACGCCTTCTTCTGGCCTCCAGGGGCACCTGCACACACATGGCGCACATAATACACCCAGGCGAGTACACACACACACACACACACACACACACACACACACACAAAATACATCTTTGAAAAGATATTTATTTTATGTAAATATACTCAAAAGTATCGAGAACAAAAATAAGACAGAAATTATAGAGTGAACTGATCTATGGCCATAAATGGTAAAGTTAAAATAAAATGTTAATTTAATTTACACATATATTAGGAAACCAAAATCCAAATCCAATGGAGTTGGCTTAACTCTGGAGTAAAAACAAACAAACATACAAAAACAGTTCCTCTTTGTAACAACCAGTAAGTATATTTTTTTTGTTTGTCTTTTTAACAGCTAATGGAGAGAAGCCAGCTAATAATATATCAAAAATATAGAAATAGCATTTGATCAACTGTATACTCATTAATGATTTAAAAGGCCATTTTGGCAAGAAAAACAGGAGAAATTTCTTACCCTGACAATGGGCTCTGTCAAACCCTTACAGAAAAACAATATTTAATGATGAAACACCTGAGGATCCTATTAGAGCTGGGAACAGTATGGGAGATAATTTCTGCTATTACACACCATTGCCCTGGAAGTCATAGATGATGCAGTAGGTAAGAGGAAAAAAAAAGAAAGAAAGAAAGAGCAAGCACTGGCCTGGAAACTAAAAGGCAATACTTCTACATGCAAAAGATATTACTGGCTCATATAAAAATCCAGGATAAAGCATAGAAAACTGATAAGATTTAAGAAATGCTTTATACTGGAACAAGAGCAGCAGTATATAAATTAATAATATTTCTACATTCTAGCAACAAGCAGTGATGTAGAAACAAAAACATTAGTAGTAAAACAATAACAATGGGATTTAACCTAACAGAAAGGGTTCTTTGTGGCAAATGTCACCAAACACAACTAAAGAACATAAAAGAAGACACGGGACATAAATGGTTGGGGGATGGCAAGACACTCTGTCCCATGAATGAATTCTTGAACCTCAACTCCTTTGTATGGAGCTTGGCTCCTTATCTCTAAAATTTATCCAATGGAGAAGGAAAACAAAAACAAATGAGGCAGTTCTGGACACTGATAGAGTAGCGGGTCCTGGCCCCAGCTCCTGTAAGGCTGGTCTCACTGGTACTGCCTGGTGAAGAAGAGAAAATCTTGTTCCAGGATGCTTCTGAATGTCCATCACAGCTTCCGAACACCGGAAGGGGAACACCACCACTTGTTAAAACCTAAGCGAGTTTTTGTTTTTTCTAGGTTTGGTTTCTAGATCTTGGAGGATACGAAGGAGGAAATTTTCAGGTCATTCTTTAACTTAGTGTTCGGGTAATACAGCCATTTTACACTCGTGTTTTTGTTTTCCAAGCATGCAAGATGTTATAAGAACCCATCCACAGAACTGGGGTAATCATGCCTCCCAAGTGTCCCTGCCACAGCAATTCTGAGTCTCCAAAAGCGGGAGCTTAGAAGCTTCACAATTTTTGGTCAGGGTGGCCACAGAGGCCCATGAGAAGAACCTCAAACCAACACAGGCTATTGCTACTGTCCTTGGTGCTCATGTGGACTAAATGGCAAGACCCCACTGCTGAAGAAAAGCACATGGTGTAGCTGTAGGGTATAGAGCAAGCCGGACCTGAGCTGAAAGCTTCCCTTCTGCTGGCCAGTTTTCCCAGTGTTGGAAGGTACTATGCAGGCTGCTGGAGGGTAAGAGGTAGCAACAGTCTTATGGACCTTGTATGCTAGACCACTGGCCCACCTGGCAGTATGTGCCCACTGGTACACTACTGGATTGACTGTTCCTGGACTTGAGGTCTGGTATTGGAAGTCTCGTCAAAAGGGTGTGCCACCCCTGTGGCATGAGTCATACGCAAGAAGCTGCCACTGTTGATTTACTAAATGGGCATGTTGTGCTTGTCAAAGTGCCTTCTCAGGTCAATATTTGTGCTTATGCTCATAGAATAGTGCTGCTCTAAGCCTTGGTTAGAGAAATTGTTTCTTCTTCCTCCTCCTCTTCTCCTCTGTCTGTCTCTCCCCCAACTCCCAGTGAGTGGTGGTTAATGTAGAGATTTGTAACCCATCAAGTGATTTGTTGAAGTGCTCATCACTAAATGGAGCATCTATAGCACTCCCTTAAAAGCTCAAGAAACATCTCAGAGAGCAGGTGAAGAGAATGTAAGAGCCAGAGAAAGATCCAGAGTGCCTTCTGAGCATGAAATGGCCATTTCACCCATGAGCTCAGCAGCTGTGATTACCAGCACGGGGCCTGTACAAGACTGGGCCCTTCAGCCTTCTAGTACGGATAGGAGAAACACTCTTGAGGTCCTGGCTCTCCTCGAGGATTTATAGTTGGTCAGCTATTGTTGGCAGAGGGATTCATGAGGCCCCATGTCTTTCAGATGAGCTATGGCTGCTGAGGGAAGGGGAGAAATTTTCTTCAGTGATATAACCACTGGTAGGTTGTCCGTGATCTTCTTAATAACCCCCGACCCACACTCCTGTAAGCAACCCAATTAAACTCACTGGACTGTAAGTAAAAAGGACATGAAAGTAGAAGGGGGATGAGTTGGAAAGAGGAGTGGGAGTAGAAGGAGGACAAGAGAGAGTTAACAGTGGGTTAATAGGATCAAATATGTTATATACATATATGAATATGTTGCAGAGAAACCATTATCATGTATAATTTATGTTAACAGAAACTGAAAAAGTATCCCATTGGAAGTATTATTCCAATGGGAATAATCAATATTTGAGGAACCGAAATATGTAAAACAGAACAGCATGTGATGCACAGTAAGCACTCCGTGAACTGTATGTATCTGTACGACAGAACAAAACTCCATGTCTTTAACAATCATCTTGAGTCATGTTTATGATAACTAAAAAGCACAGGAATAACCACTTAAACTCAAGCAAACATTTCACTTTAGTAAAGCTTCTCTCTCTCTCTCTCTCTCTCTCTCTCACACACACACACACACACACGCACACACACCTCTTCAACTCTGTTAGCATGTCATTTGGACAGGGGACTACTTTGCAAATACACTGCTCTGTCTGTTCTCCGCAGGATTGCCAGCTTCTGGGGGGGAAAAATAACAAGCATCCAAGTTTCATTTCTTGTGTAATTTTTCTCCTGAGCCTAGAAGGTGTGACGGGGACTGACTGGTGTAGGGTGTGCTTCACGCAGGGGATGCCTAATAAATATTTTAAAACACTATTAAAGTGTTGAGTACATTTGGCAGCAGGGCTGTTGCTCACCGCTTCGGTGCCAACACTTTCGAAGTCCTGCCTCTGCCTAGCAACCATTCCCCACACACCTACATGTCTCCAGAAGGTTGAGCCAGGATGAAGCGCTTTTTTTGTTGTTTTAAGCTGGCGTTATGGTGCCATTGTTTTTGAGGAGTGTCTTCTGGGCACCTAAAGACCCTGCTGTGTGCCTGGAAACTGCTTTCCCCTTTAGAGAGATTATGATGGCTACATGTGTTACCTTCCTTTCCTCTCCAGATCATCTTTCCTGTTTTTGTTCTCTTGAAACAGAGGCTTCTGGTGTACCCCAGGCTGTCCTTGAGCTCACAGCTCCTGCTTCAGCCTCCCAAGCCTTGGGTTTATGGGTGTTAGTATCCTGTTGCGTACTTTCCTATCTGTAAGGATGTCTTTCGTTTTCAGCACCTGAGGAGTGCTAAGGATCTAAGAGTTGTTTTGTTTTGTATTTTTGCATTTTAACTAAGATATTTCTTCACAAGTTTCATTCTTCATTATTTTCTGATCTGCTACAGGGAGCTAGCAGTATTACTATTAAACATTATTTCACATCTACACAATCTAAGCTTATACTTAGGTAGTGAAGAACCAACCTACCTGCATCTTAGGGTTTAAAAGCCATCTGATACTGAAGACAAACTAAGTTCATTCCTTTATGATTAAACCTGTTTCTCGAGGATTGGGCTGTGCCCCACCTGTGACCTTAACTCCAAATGGTTTCTGTACTGCCTGTTCCAGGAATGGCAATCACGTTTTTGTTTCAAAAGTTAACATCCATCTTACAACCCTACTTTTGTTTCAAAATGGTGGTTATGACTACCTGTTGCTACCACCACCTCGCAATCATGTCCTGGTTTCAGCAGACTAATTTGCGATGCTTATGCTCTTCTCCTGTAATCCCACCTATTTTGTCCACGAAATGCCCCATTTAGAACCCCCATACTCCTGAGCTATAAAAAGCCTTGTCTTCCTCACATCCAGGGCTTAGGGGGAGGCAGCCCCGAGGTCACATGTACACGGGAAAAACAAAACAAACAAAAAAACCTTTGCTTTAATTTGGCCATGATGGTTTGGGTTGGTGGTCTCTCTCCTCCCATCTTCGGGATTAACAGCGGACTGGATCCTAACGTGGTAACCTAAAGAAAAGCTTTTTTTTTTTCTTTTTGTTTGGGGGAGGGGGCGAAGCTAGAGAATGTAAAGCACCTGCTTTTTTTTTTTTTTTTTTTTTTTTTTTAACTGTCTCATTTAAACCTCACAACTTGGCCAGGAATGCAGGGTCAAGGTCATTTCTCCAGGATAAGAAAAAGAAAACTTGGAGCCACTAATGACTTTCTGCAAGGTCACCCCGTCTGGATGAACCTACACCGAACAGCAGGACTTCGGAAGCCACTGCCAATCCAGTTTCCCAGTCTCCTCTAGTCCGCTGAACTTCAGGAAACCAGACCTGCAAGCAAGCAGCAGCACAGGGACACAACACAGGAGGCGAGCAGGGAACAGTGCGCACGCGCAGAACACGGTTCGCAAGGGGCGTGGAAGGCTGCACAAAGGCTCCGCCCCGCCTCGGGCTCCGCCCCTCCCGCTCCCCTTCCAGGTAGAGCGCGTTAATCGCGCGCAGGCGCACTTCCTGATCCTGAAGGTCAAATTGAAGAGGGCAGCCCTCAGATCCGCGCAGGCGCAGACTGTGCCGCGAGCCAAGATGTCGGGCTCCAAGTATAAGCCGGCGCCTCTGGCCACCCTCCCTAGTACCCTCGACCCGGCCGAGTATGACGTGTCTTCGGAGACCCGAAGGGTGCAGGTCGAGCGCATGAGCCTCAGGGCCCGGCTTAAACGAGAGTATCTGCTTCAGTTCAACGACCCCAATCGCCAAACGCTCATCGTGAGTGGGGCCGGGCGGGACTGCGGGCCGGGGCATCTCGCGTGGGTCCACGCGGGGCCGCCCGGCTCCAATCCGTGTGCTGGCCACGCAGCCCGTGGCCTTTGACCTCGGCTGTTGGCCGGGTGGTCAAGGGGATGGGCTCGGGCTGCAGACCCAGCTGGCCTTGCGTCCTGGCGTGACGGTTCTCCCCCACCCGACCCCCGATTTGGAGAAGGCTGTTAAACTCTGCCTAGTCTCGGCCTTTCTGTCCGAAACGTGACCATAATATGGTCCTTCGTTATCTTTGGAGGCGGATTGGCACGTGACTGATCTAGCGCAGTATCTTCCGTGTCCAGGACGTGTTCCAGGTTCTCTCTCCCAAACGTACAGCCTATGAAGCTGTTTTGTGACTCTCAGCTCACAACTCCCAAGGACACTCCCCCCCCCCTCGTGATAATGTAGGGGTTGTTCAAATTGACTATGTTCCAGAACCTAAAGCCTGATAAAGCATTCGGCTTTGGAATCAGCCCACAGGGCCTCATATACTAACAAACTATGACCCCTGGGCAGTTTACATAATCTCCTAAAACACAGTTCATCAATGTTCTCCTGGAAATGGTGTGCATTCATCGTAGAGTTGTGAAAGCTATCTAAATATCTCAAGTGGGGTATTTTTTAAATGAAGACTTTCCAACAGTTGCATACGTATTCTCTATAAAATCTTTAAAAGTTATAGAAACAACCAAGGGGAAGTTACACTGAGTGGCCAGATAGAGTACTAGGACTTGTTTCATTTTTCTCTTTAACACTTGGTCTCCGGGTGCCTCAGAACTCTCTACCCTCCACTCACACCTCCACATGCAGGATTACTGTCACTTGAAACCCATACCTGGCCTGAAAAACATTTTTTAAAAAAATGTATGTCACAGCCTTTCACAGAAGTAAGCTGTGTTACTGTCTTAGCTTTCTCCATGAGAAGACCGTATGGACAGGGCATATTGCTCATACAGATACTCCCAGTAGCAGGTCACAGTGCTCAGTTTGAACCTTAGTCTGTGTGACTCATAGCATTGTCTCATACGTAGTTGAATGTAATATCTCCAAGCAGGCCTTTGTTTACAGTGTAAAAGAGATACACTTGTCCTATTATATACACATAGTTGCTTTTGAGGCACTAGATATTATTACTGTTATTAATTAAGTAATTTAGTTTTCAGACAGCCTTGGCTGTCCTAGAACTCCCAATGCAGACCAGGCTGACCTTGAACTCACAGAGATCCACCTGCCTCTGCCTCCTGAGCACTGACATTATAGGTGTGCTCTGCAATGCCTGGTGTGTTTGCTTCATTATTATTATTATTATTTTAAGTAAATAGAATAAGTTTGAAACCCCAGTTGTTTGGTTTTTGATCTCTGTACCTCAGAGCGGTTTCCATTTGTCTCTAATGGAGATAATAATACCTGCCTCTTTAGCTGTTCCATTATTTATTTACCAACCAGACACGTGACTCCCTTTGTCTAATCTTTAGGAGTAACTGATTTGGCCAGAAATAACTTCTCGGGCTCTGTAATGAGACTAAGCTGCCGAGGTAAGAGTGCAAAGCCAGCTGAAGCCCTGGCCTTGTTGACTGGCTGCTTTTCTAGTCGGGGTGACAAACACTAAGTACGTTAAAAATCCATATCATTTAATGTGTGAAACAGTGACACATGATTTAGAAAAAATAGGGGTGGGCTTAGCAATGTGTGTATAAGAGGGAAGGAAGCACCTGTTTGGAAAATGGCATCGGGTGTTTTATTTACTGTTTGTTTTGTAGTGTCTGGGAGCAAATCCATGGTCTCACATGGTAGGGAAGTGTTCTACCACTGAGCTACAATCCCAGCCTTGGAGCATGACATTTAAGTAAGGATCTGAATGAAGTGAATCAAAGGAGTTAGCTTGAGGGAGGGAAATAGCATGCTAATCAGAAGAGACTAGAAGGGCAGGAGTATGCTTGGCAGCTCCAGTGTTTAGTATATTTCAGAATATGTTAGAGTCCTAGTACTGTGGAGGCTGAGCCAAGTCGGGGCCACAGAGAAATTTCCTCAAGCGCTCATACACTTTCATTTTTGAAGAGACCATTATGCATAAAACAGTGAAAGATGAGAGCAGAAAGACAAAACAAAAAGTGGTCAAAGAGCTCTCTAGAACTTGGTCCCACAAGACCTTGTATGGCATTGTGAAGATTTTTACTGGGAAGTGAGTCATATCGTGGAGACTTATATTTTAACAAAATCTCTTGGTTTATTTCTTTGAGAATGGTCTGGGAGGGAGGGAGGACAGAGAGACATGAGCTAGGAGGCTTTGGCAGCGGTTAGATCTCTCAGTTGGTGCTGTGACAGTAGTTGGGGAGGTGGTAAGAAGTGACAAGTCCTGGACAGATAGTCAAAGCAGGTCCTGACAGGTTCATTGTCAGGTGGCTGTGGTGCATGGGAAGAGAGAAAAGAGAAAGATGTTGCCAAGGTCAACCAAGTTCCTTTACTAGAGGAATGTGAGAGGAGCAGTACAGTGGATAGAAAGGAATATCGACACGTCGGTTTGGGGTACTTTTGGGATGCCTGTGAGATGTTTGGGTCCGTGCCCAGGTGGGCGGATGTTGAGTCTAACATGGAAGTCTGGCGTAGAAGTAGAATGTTGGTGGCCATGACGGTAAGGGCTTAAAGCCATGTGACCGGATGGCATCTTTAATGGAGTGAGCGTATGTAAGAGAGCCCTACAAAAGCTGAGGCCCAGTGTTGAAAGTTTGGGGGGGGGGGAAGGAAAAGACAAAAGAGATGAAGAGAGAATGGGCAAAGAGGAGAAAACCAAAGCAGAGGTGGACTCAGAAAGCACTCAGGAGAGTTTTGAGGGCTTCATCACAGCGGAGGCTGCTGAAGTTTCACTGGACATTGGTGTCATGGAAAGCTGCTTCTCCCTCCTTATTAATTTATGTGTGTGTGTGTGTGTGTGTGTGTGTGTGTGTGTGTGTGTGTGTCCGCTGTCTACATTTCTGTATGTGTACTGTATATGGGCCTACTGCCAGAAGAGGCCAGAAGTAGCCATTGGATCCCTTAGAACTAGAATGGTTTTGAGCCACAGTTTGGGTGTGGGACCTGTATCCAGGTCCTTATCAAGAACAACAACTAACTACTCTTAACCACAGAGCCATCTCTCTAGCCACCTTCCCCTGGTTTTGATAAAGTTACTGGTATTTTTGTGAAAAGAAATGTCTGTTTCCGGAAGGCAGAACAGTGATTGACTGGCAGATTGAGCAGTCTCACTGTGTGGCATTCAGAAACACACTTCAGCAGAAAAGAAGATACATCGATCCTTCCATCTTCTGGCCTTACTCTACTGTTTGTTTCCATTTGCACTATGGAATAACAACACTGCAGAACCCTTCCGCCTGAGTGTGGGATGATAATACTGTTTCTAGGGCAGCAGAAGGGTTTTCTTTGGTGTGGTGTGTGTGTGTTAAAACCTTCTCTGACTGGTAGCAAGTAATTGCCCACATAGTTGAGGAATTTCAACCTGATCGAAAGGCTGGAAGCATCCCCACTCAAGGTTTTCTTACCTATGAGTTACAGCTGGTCACCTCAGGGTCAGATTGCTGTAATTCAGTTTAGTTTGAAATGTAAATGTGAAAGCTATTTCAGTCTTACCAATCATGGCTGTTTGGTGTTGGTTAAGACCTTAGGTGTTCATGCTGCACACTGAAGACTAAAGCTGATTTTATTTGCTTATTTTAATCTGCCAGTTAATTGGAGAGAATAATTTCGTAGAATCACTTGGGAATTTAGCTAATTAAGTTTAATTATGTGTTTGGGGTAAATTTGCTATTCTTAGGAAATTCTTTTAGTGTAAGTATATTAAATTATTATTTTTTTCTTAACCAAGACAGGCTGAATATTTTTGACAACCTTTTTTTTTTTCCCCTCAAGACTTTTAATGGTGGGGAAAGGAATAGTTTGTTTTCCAAACATCAGCCAAGTTAGTTTAGAAAGTTATAGCTCATGGTGAGAGGTATAGCTCAATGGTAGCATTCCTGCCTAGTTTACACAATGCCCTTGCTTTGATCTTCAGAACCAAAAGAAAGCAAAAGCATATAATTCGGAGCTAGAGTACGCCTGCTTTCATCTTCCTGCGGCTGACTTAGCAGGGAAAGGCCAATTGTGACAGCATTAGAAAGGCTCCTAGGAACAAAATAGGAAGCTTGATAGAACATCTAAGGTCTCTTTTCATCAGGGCTGTGGTGTGGTTCTGATGGCCTCTTCCAAGAGAGATGAGGTTAAGAATAAGTCCAAGAAGCAGTTCATGAAAGTGATGAAGGGGGAGAGATGGCTTCTCTGCTGGTTTAAAGTTAAGAATCTTAAATCATAGGTAAATAGAAAGCTGGAGGGGAGGGGAATAGCAGGATTTGAACAGCATTGGCAGACAGATTTTGGTCTGATGGTGGCTCACACCTGTGATCCCAGCACTTGGGAAATTGAGATCGAGGCTAGCTTGGGCTACAGGTTAGCCAAGGCTACAGAGCAAAACTAAGAAAGAAAAGAAAAAGGAAAAAAGAGGGAGGAGAGAAAGTTGTTTAGTACTGGAAACTAGTCAGGTGAGAGTCGTGCGCAGTCACATGATCCCAGACTTGGGAGGGAGCAGTCACAAAGCCAGAGGTCAGAGGCGCCCGCTGTGGTCCTCACAACAGCCCTGATGAATTTCTTCCTCAACGTGTCGTCCTTAAGGTTGACACTTCTCTGTTTGTATTAATTTCAGGAAGATCCTGCTTTGCTTCGTTGGACCTACGCAAGATCAGCAAATATTTATCCTAATTTCAGACCCACCCCCAAGAATTCACTTTTAGGAGCTCTGGCAGGATTTGGGCCCCTCATCTTCTGGTATTTCATTTTCAAAACGGACAGAGTAAGTATTAGGGCCAGCCTGGTGTGAGAGGGCTCCTGGGTTCCAGCTTGGTACCTGTGGTGATTGCTGCCAGCGTCCTCCCACTGGAACAGCCCTGAGTTTACTCTTTCTAGCTTGTGTCTTTATTCCTTTTGGATTTTCAGTTTGACTTGATACTTTGTTAAAAACATGGCAGCCAATGGGTCTTTCAGATTTAATGTAATGTCTATTCTGCAATTTTAAAAAAGGAATAGAATAGTGATAATTTAAGTTTATGAGATTAGAATATAGCTCATGAAAGTTTTCCTGTGTGTTTTCCCCCAGATTATATAAGGAAATGATAGTGTTCTTAGTAAGCAAATAAATGCCAAAATAGCTTTTTATTTTTTTTAAGTTACTTTTCTCATTAGAGGGTATAGAGACACCTGATTTTACTAAGACAGAATTGAGAAGGTCTCCCTGTCCCCCAGGCGGGCCTCAAGTTTAAGGTCTTTCTTGGGTCAGCCTCCTGGGCATTGGGATTATAGGAATGAGTCACCATGCCTGGTTTAGAACTGAACTTCTTTGGTGATCGACCTTTAGACATCTTGATGAAGTTCTTTAGTTCTTTAGAGATGATGTTTTTTGGTCAAGCGTTGACAGAACGTGAGGCTCACCCAGCATGCTCTCTGTTGCTGAGTTCCTCTTGAGACATACTGCACCCTAGCATCGGAAGCAGAAGCATTGCAGGTCTCCATCATCCGAGGCCTGGCTATGTGATCATAGAGGTGATCATAGAGGAGGCTGCTGCGTTCAGGGTCATGGTTCTGGGCGCAGTCCCCGGGCTTGTGTAGCCATCTAGACTGGAGGCCACATACCAGTCTTCATCATCAGCCAACCACCTGCTCTTTCATCAGAGAGCTCTAATCTTGTGATTGGTAAATTTGCCATGCTTTTTCCAGAAGTTATTTGCATTTGCTCTCACTGTCTGCTTTTGAGGCTAGGCCTGGTGCTTCCTGCCTGTAATCCTAGCCCTGCTGAGGCTGGAGGATCACCATGAGTTTGAGGCTAGGCTAAGGACTGAGTTCTACGCTAGCCTTGCTTTAGGGTGGACCTCTGTCAAAACAAAATGGGACAATTCCTTTCTGATCACTAAAGAACAGCTAATGTACAGTTTGAACAGTGGTGTTTTCTTATTGTCCTAACTTTAGCTTCTTACTACTTCCTCAGGATCCTTGGCTTTAGGGGGTGGAATTGCAATTAGGTTTTGAGAATTTTTATTCTTGATTTGCAGAGTTATTCCATGGCCATGCCAGATGCATTGCTTTTTAATATTTTGTCTGTTTTTGTTTTAATCTATACAGGACAGAAAGGAAAAACTTATCCAGGAAGGAAAAGTGGACCGAACATTCAACCTCTCCTGTTAAGTTTAGCGAGGATGACTCTATTCTTGCATAAATAAATCTTCTGTTAGTCGCTGAATAGTCTCTTTTATTCTTGGGTTTATTGTTGAAACATGTTAATGCCTTAAAAAAACAGAAGGCTTGTGGCTTGTGCTGAGCATCTGTGTGTCAGAATGATGGCCAGTGTTTGCTGGATATTGTAGAATCTTCTTTTTCAAGAGCCCAGCTTGACACAGAAACATCTGTTCGTTCATTTAACCTGTCATTCAGCAAATGAGTGTTAACCATGGCCAGTTGATCTGTGTGCCGAGGGGACGATGGTTGGAGACCCAGAGTTCATGGCTCTGCTGGCTCACTTAGTGTCTGAGTGCTCCGTGGTCAGGACTCTAATACCCAAGTCCGTGTGTGGCCTCAGCCTGATTGGTAAGCACAGCAGAAGGGAACAGCCGTGTGAAACACAAAACAGAGACTTGGGGAAGGAAGTGCTGATAAGAAAGTAGTTCTCTGTGGGAAGTTCGGGAGATGGCATCTGATTTCATCTCTGAAGTTCCCGAGGCTGACAGGCTGACAGGAACATGAAAGAACAGGCCTGCTGAGCTTGTCTGACCTGGCTGCCCTCAGAGTAAGAAAGTGAGGATAGAGGTCATGCTGAGGAACAGAAGGATAACAGCTAAGGGCATAGGCTAGAAACCCGGCTTGCACTGAAACCTAGCTGGGATTTAGCAGTTAGAATTCTGGTTTCCATTTTCTTTTTATAGCGTGGAGATAGTAATGCCTTTCACCTCATAAGTCCATGAGGATAAAAGTGACATAGCATTAACCAATAACAACAGTCACCACTCCGCTTTCTCATTCAGTTTTGAAGCAGCGCAGTAACAATTTCATCCACAAAGAAATGAAGTCATGAGCTCTGGGTGAACAGCATGCTCTCTAGGCTGGTTTACGCAAGTGTCTTTGGTCGTAACTCTGAAAGCACGTACAACTAGTCTATCATCCATTCCTAACATTAACCTTCATTACCACAGACAGCAAAGCCTGAAATGCTTTGTGCACAGGTAGTTTATGTTTCGATCTAAAGGGGCCCGGGAAGAGTGAAATGCAGGGAGGGAGAGTCCATCACTGTGTGTTGCTGACCTTGCCTCAGAGCATAACATTCTGAAGACCTCTGTGTATACAGAAATTCCCCCTCAGACATGGGAAAAGAAAATGTCCTGTCCCCCAGTGGTCAAAAGTTAAGCGGGGTGGGCATGTTTCAGAATGACTGGCTGATCTATCATACTTGGAGGAGGAAAACACTTAGGGCAAAAAGCAAGTGTGGCATGTAGCTATGGCAAGTACGGGCAGCAGCAACAGGACTGAGGATGTGAAGATGGCACAAGAAGTATGCCATCTCTGTATCTGTAGCATGCAGATCTTCAGCCTTCACGCACGAAATAGCAATGGCTGCCTAACAGTCCACAGGACAGGGTAGGCGCGCTAGTAGAGCAAGCCACGGTGCACGCCCCCAAGGCTGTGGTCATCGTCTCGGTCCTGCTTTCCAGATGTCCCTCGTTGGCCATCACTTTAGATGGAGATTGCTTGACTGATGCATCACCACCATCTTCATTTCTAAAGACGGTTACTCTGGGCCATTGCCGGAGCAATCGTGTATTTACAGTTGCCTTCCAGTGGAAGAACCAAGACACCCTAGTGAACTCCCTGCGCTCCACACAGCCCTTCTTGCCCTCAGTTGTGTAGCACTAACATTAGCCCCTTGTAATATCAGTGCTGCCAACCCCCAATCGGTGCTGCCAAAGTGCCAAGTATTCTGGTTGACTGACTCGCGTTTACAGAGCTCCAAATGACCTGGATATAGTTGAGGTATCTTCCACCAAGGGTTTATAATTCCCCTGGTGGAAGGCTTCTCCCTGTACCGCACAGTGAATCAGGGTATCTTCTTCATCAAAACCTACATTGGGCCCAGTGAGATGGCTCTGTGGGCAAAGGCACTTTGCCATCAAGACTGATGACATGAGTTTAATCTCCGGAAGCTGCATGGCAGAAGGAGATAACTGAGTCCTACAAATTCTCTGATGTCTACATGTGAAATGCAGCACACCACCTGACTACAAACACACACGTAGATGTAAATTCGGGGGTCAGGGATGTAGCTCAATGGTAGAACGCTTGCCCAGGATGTGTAAGGCGCTTTGATCCCTCATTCTAGGAAAGAGAAAGGTAAAATTCATAGGGAAAGAAAGCGCGTGTTCCATTCCAACCTTGAGGAGGGCAAAAAGGACCAGTCCTAATGCTGGTTCTTTCACTCAGGAGGGCGAGCTGCAACACTTTATGACCATGCGTAGCATGAGTTAACTACATGGCTAACTCTTTGGGGGGCTGTAAGCTGGCTGACGCTGTAGCTAACCTTTAATAGGCTTTGCTGCTGTTCACTTTGCTCAATTTTGTTAGAGACGTAACTGACAACTGCTAGCCCTGTTGTCAGGGATGGTTGCGGAAGCAGCTGCTTGACACAGTTCTGGCTGCTGGAGTACCGTCGCCTTGGAGAAAACATGTCCGGATTGCCAGTCCACAAATGGCGTTGGTTTTTCCTATATCTCTGCCTGCTTTGTTTCTTACTGTGACTCCATTTTTTTCCTCTAATTCAACCCTAGTTAATGCAACTGGTAAGATTTTTAGAGGGGTTGGGAGATAAGGAAATGGCTCAGAAACAACTGTGATGGAGAAAGCATTTTTCTTGGCTGTAAAGGCAGTGAACCCTGAATGATTTGAACAAGAAATTGAATCCATAGAGGCCTTTTGTGCTGATTGTTTCCTGAAAAATTTTACTCAACTCACGGATATCAAATGATATTAGGAATTGTTTTGAGTTTCCACTCAGCCCTCAGATTACTTTATTCAGAAGGGAGTTAGACCCTAGAGAAACTACTGGACTCATAATAACTTCTTACTCTCGAAAGACTTGGTCATATGGACATGACTCCTTGGGATAGGATAAGGAGCTTTGTGTAGTTTATGAGGAAGGGGCCAGAGACCCTCTGAATGATCACTCCTATTACAAAAGATGTTTAGAAAGAACTTCCTCAGCCACGACAGCGGCTAACAAGAATAGTCCAGTTTGTTTAGCCTTTTTGTTCTTATGCCACTTATTGTAACTGCAAGATTTTGCCCAGATGACCTATGATGTAGAGGTTTGTCTTGAGAAAAGCACTCAGTTAAGGATTAAATATGCTTGCTTGCTTGCTTGCTTGCTTGCTTGCAATGTAATCACTGTACCGTGTAGGTAGAGTTCAGCTTGCTATATTCTGTTCTGTGAGTTCTTGGGTACAATCACTGCACCATGTAGGTAGAATACAGCTTGCTATGTTCTGCTTATTCTCATCTGTGGGTCTTTGGGGAAAAGCCAATATTCTGGGTTTTGATCATGTAGAAAAAATGTGTAAGGAGATGATTTAACAATAAAGGACTGGGATTGACTCTCCGCTCCAAGGAGAAAATAGAGCAGAGAAAAAGAGAGCATGAGCAGACAGCAGAGAGCCTGCCTCCCGAGAAGTCTCTTGAAATGAGTCATCTGTAGGCTTGTACCTGCCCCCGTGTGTGAAGTTAATTTTCTCGCGCCGATCCATTCCTCCCAATCTCTAGACCCGAAATTGGCTGAGGCTGGTCCCCAGCACCCTGGAGCCTGACTCTGCTGCAGGCCTCTCTCTGGGCTCCATTCAAAGCATTCCCACTCGTGGGTGAAAACAGGGTGCCCAAGTAGAGTCCTGAATCCAGAGAGAGTCACAGAATGGGGAAGAGTGTTGGAGGAAACCACTTGCTCTTTTTTTTATTTTTATTTTTTAAAATGCTGCCCTGCCATGTTACAGGTCACTGGGGCCCCATAATCATTCATAATGAAAAGGCTCCTCATCCCACATGGAGATCGTCTTCCACTTCAGCTGTCTCTTCTAAGCCTGTGCTAGTTTCATTTATCATTGCGTCAGAATACCTGATGATGTAAGGGAGGAAAGACTTATTTTGCCTCATGGTTAAGCCCAGGACAGCCTAGAGCAGTTCATGTCTTGGTAACCAGAATACTAGGCAGGATCATCATACCTAGAGGCCTCTTTTCTGTTCCTCTTTTCTTCCACCTAGACCCCAGCCTGTGAGAAGGTGCTATTCGTATTCAGGGCAGCTCTTCCCACCTTTGTTAATCTGGAAAAATCCTCATAGGAACACCCAGATATGCTGGGTGCTTCTCCAGCCAATCAAGATGACAATCAAAACCAACCGTTCTAAGGCTGAGGCATGAGTTCAGTCAATAAAAAGCTTTCCGTGAAAGCACGAGGACCCAAACCCACTCAGAAAGCCAGATGTGCCAGAATGCTTGTAATCCCAGCTCTGAAGAGGCAGAGAGAGAGAGAGAGAAAGAGAGAGAGAGCGCCCCGGGGCTCACCAGCCAGCCACCCTGACCCTAACTTAATCAGAACCTCCAGGCAGGTGTGAGACTCAAAAGCCAAGGTGGTTAGCTCAGGAAGAACAGCATTCAAGGTTGCCCTTTACACTCCTGAAATACGTGTGCACGTGAACACACACACACACACACACACACGACTATTATGGGAACTGGAATGATAAAGAGCCCAATCAGTAAGCAAACAGGAGTGAGGAGTCAGAGATCACAGAAGGTGTGAGAAACAATTCAGAGGCTGGGGCCCGGTGGACATGAGGAGCCGCTGCGTGTAACGGAAGAAAGCGTGAGTGAAGACTGCGTTTCTGCAAAATAGGCCTGCAATCCCATTTAGACCTACAACTGCAAGCAGGGACTGTGTAACTCCTGGGAGTCTCATCCTAAGTTTCCATGTCATTCTGAATTTGTCCCTGGCCCCCCCCCCCCAACAACTCTCAGTTCCTGCCCCCCCTTTTTTCCCCCCCCCCCCCCCCCTGCTCTCCTTTGTGCTGGGAATTGAACCTGGGGCCTTCACACCTGCTAAGCAAGGTTTCTAACATTAAGTTGTATCTACACCCCCCACCCCCGCTTTTACTTTTTTACTAAAAGACAGGGGTCTCATTAAGTTGCCCAGCTTGGCCTCAAATGTACAA